TCAGTGCTTTAACTGGTCCTCATGGTCCGCAGGCAGCAAACGTGCTGGGTGTGCCCCAAGCAATCTGAGTCAGTAGGAGCTTGTTTCCTCTTAACTACTATGATTCTAGCATGCACCATTTAAAAGGGGACCGAATAAAGTCTCTCTAGTGTTCGCATGTAGGTGCTTTATCAGCAAACCCCAAGGGGCCCTCTAGTTCAGTGTCCTGTCTTCCAAAGCGTCCAGTACCAGTCACTTGTTGTAGTAATCTGTAATCACCTGCCTCCACACCCACCTATACTGTAAGACTTTTATGTCTTGTACCACACCTAGCACAAATGAATGTGCTTGGCTCAAGATGAGTCAGAGAGAGTCCTTTCCTGATGTTTCATTTATGATGGTGCTGTGGGTGTCATGAAAGAAGCAAAAAGAACAGGAATACTTGTGGTACCTTAGAGACTAACAAATTTATTTGAGCTTTTGTGGGCTACTCTGAAACATGAAAGAAGCAGTTCTTCAGTGTAGCTGGTGGTTTTTTCTTGACCCTCCCCCTTTCACTCCCACCAGTAATCAGTTTTTGTGCTTAAGCATAGCGGCAGTCTTTATTCTATTTAGTGTTACTGGACATGCCATTCATGTAAATATCTCATTCTAATTTGGAACAATGGAATTATACTTTTACAAAGAAAGCTTAAAAACCATCACTAATTGCTTTCCTAGATGGCTTGGATGAATCTAAATCCCCCAGTCCAGAACAAATGGATGCACTGAAAGAGTTTGCAGGAATCACTACTGGACTTTCAACCACTGAGAGCCTTGGTACCCTTGCATTTCTCTATCTGTACCTGTCTATTTCAGCTAAATATGGGTAAGAACATAGTCATCCTCAGAAATGAATGCAGTATCCTAGGTGTGCATGGTTCCTGTTAAATTTCTGTTCTGTAATTTCACAAGAAATTAGACCTCTAAAGGTAAAATAAAGGGGGGAAACTTTCCTTTGAGTTCTTAGGCGCTTATCTTGTTAGTAACTCTTAGGTGAAATAGCAAAATTGTGCTGAATGGGTGGGAAATCAGCAAGGATATGCCCAAAACATGAATAGTCATAACTGAGAAATAGTGCTAATCTTCTAAACATGGTTAACACAGCAGTTGACATTGCTACAAACTACTAAAAGGGCTCTAGAAATGTGATCGGCTGTACGTACTAATGATCTCGGCTGTAGCAAGAGAAACACAATCCTGAGCTCAGTTTTGGCAGTGAAGTAATCAAATATTGAAACATTGTACAGGTCTCTAGCTACATAGGGCTTCACATCCCAGCCACTCTGAACATCTTGGTGATAGTAGGAGTTGAGCTGTGATCAGCCTATTCTAAAACCATATGTCCTTACTGCTTTAGCTATTGGAAATTCTCCTTCGCTTTTAGCAGTAGGGAGCCTATTACACACATTAAGCAGTTCCAGTTCTATCCAAGAGAGGGCAACAGTACAGACAGTAGCCAGCTTATTAAACCTACTGTTACTGATGTGGGATCCTAAAATGGTTTATTTTAAAAATATATTTACAAAAATCTTAAGGGTATATTTATAGTGCTATTTATGGTGTTCTATTAATAAATCACCCCCAGCACTGGCATAAAAACCAATGGAAATGAGAAATCCAATTTAGCTAGGCTTTCTTCTAGCACAATGGATTTGCAGAGCTGCTCAGCTGTGCTAGCTGAAAGTTCAGGAGGCCTATGTCTGTCATATACTTGTGCTGGTGGTGTGATCACAGCCGTTTTAGTTTGCATCTGTTGCCTTTGATCTTGAGAATGTTCTTGGCATTTTAATGTGTTTCAGACAGATACCAAGCGTGGAGATAGTGGTGTGGTCTGAGCTGCCCACAGGAGCTGGGCTAGGCTCAAGTGCTGCCTATTCTGTTTGTTTGGCAGCTGCCCTGTTGACTGCATGTGGAGCCATTGGCTGCCCATTGGAGGAGGAGAAGTCCGTAGTCAGGTAAATCATCTGAAAAGCCGGTGTGTAGAATTGGGGTAGCATAATGTTCCCTAAATCTCCAGTCAGAAGCAAATGAATGTTGCTTGTTTCTTAACTTCATATTCCTGCCTCTCTGAGCGGATGGCTTGAAATTAGTGACATTTTGTCAGG